TGCCGGAGGAGGTTACGCGCACCGGGGCGCGTCTCCATCTGGTAGCGGTAGTTCCTGTACGCTGTGAACATACGTTGTTCCGGCGACAGGAACGGGCAGGCGGACATGGCGTGTCCGTACGTTCGGCATAGCCAGCACACATACGCGCTGCCGTCCGTGGAGGCGAAGGTCGCCGCGTGGCGCGCCTCCTCATCGGTGAGGAGGGGCACGCGGGGTGCTTCGCTTGCTGCAGCTCGGTCCGAGATGTCGAGTTCTGCGACCCGGGGGTCCGTACCCCTTGCTCCTCTTGGAGTGGCGGCGAACGCGGTGGCGTACCTCGACGTTGTTCCGGTCGGCATCGGTGAGGGAGGTCAGCATCCCACCGGCAATGCCCCTTGCGTAATGAGGACAGGGTCGGCCTGCCACTCATTTTCCCCGACATGGAGGGTCGAGGCGGGCGAACTTGTCGCGACGGACTTCGTAGTCCTGCCAGCCCTCCCTGCCGGTTTCGTATCCGGCAGGGGTGAACCGCGCCGAGCGCGGTACGTGGTCCCTTCTGCTGTTGCGATACGGCGGATCATTGGAAGATCGGTCTTCTGGCGGCTCGGCAGCCGCTGTACGGTTTCGTAAACTGCGGCACGAGTCGCAGGTGCAAGTCCCCGCACGAAGTAGTGCGGGAAGGATTGTTCGGAGAACACTGCCGTGCACCGGAACGCGGCGGTTTCGAGCCGGTCAACAAACGTGCTCTCCGTTTCGTGGGATTGCTGTCGCACCGTCGCGACAGCGTCGTACGCTTCTCCTAATACGTCGTCGGTTAGGTAGCGCTTGAGGAACTGGTTCACGAGCTCCGGCCAGCTCACGTCGTCGTGTAGCTGGCCGGCGCGGAGGCCACGCATTGTATAACTCGTATACAGGCGCTCGGCGTCGCGCTCTAAGAAGTGCACGAGGACTCGTACCGCAACACCTTCGGTCAGGTGTTGCAAGTTGAAGGTTATCCGGATATCCTTCAGGAACAGTAGGAGTTGGATCGGGTTCGTACCGTCAAAGCTCCTCATCGTGGGACGGATCCAACGGAAGCGTTGAACGTACTTCGCGATCCGTCCTGCGTCACCCGAGGTGCCCTAGTAGACAATTTCGCGGTTAGTGGACAGCACTTGGGCGCGTGCGTATCCGACATGTGGACAGTTAGCTGACACGTATTGACTGGGTAATGCTAATTTCCAGACCTACCCCAATACCGCCACAGTGCAAGCAATTACTGTCCAATAGTTATGCGTGTGTGTCAGTCCCTGTCCACTTGTAGTGAGAATACTGTGTTTTGTCCCCTACTGTACGGGCCTCAAAAATTGCATTGCCCCTACGCGCAGAAGGATCTTTAACTGGCGAACATTGTTGCCAAGTGGCTGAAACAGGCGCCAGTGAAATGGACAAGTGGAATAATGGTTGCCTGTAACGAGAGACACACGTGGGACGTACAAATCCTGTCGCAGCCTCTTCACCGCCGTCGACGGTGGCGCCCGAATTGGATTAAACCTTATGGTACTGCATTGAATTTATGATACATATTTACAAGAATTGATTCCGTTATCGCAACACTTCGGGATTACACGAAGCCGACCTGTTCTCATGTTCTCACATTTCATGCCGTTTCCATCGCCCGCACGATCCCCTGAATCTCATGCAGTCACCATCCCTGTACGAAACCGTTCTTCATCTACAAACATTCTATGCCACACAGTTTCTATCTCCGTAGTGGATCATGCGGCCATAGCTTTCATCCGGACCGTTGCGTACATTTCCCTCATATGCATGCGACTTCAATTTCAACTACTTGTGTCATCGAATTCTCAAACGTCCTCCTCCCCCGTCAGGTACGGCACTGCCCCCAGCGGAATCGTCACGAACACGAGGCGAGAAAACGATCCATTCCATCGGGGGATTTCTTTCCAGGGTTTTCGAGGGCGTAGAGGCGCGATGCGGGGTCCAGAAAGAATGTACGACGACCGCGAAGGTTTGAGCGGTTCCCTCGCGTGGGATAGGCATGGTCCATAACCCTATAAGATGGAGAAGCACTGATGAATCTTCGACTGTTGGTGTCTGAAAGACGGCCGCTGTTGGTGCATATACCTGGGCGAGAGAGGTCCGCTTCACATTTGGAGCCCAGTCCGAAACGACTAGTTGGCGGAGTTCCTGCCCGCGGGGAAGGTGAAATTTGTACACCAAGATCCGACGGATACGACCGTAGTACACCTCTCTAGCATTTTCCCCGCGATCAGATTCAAATTGGGCACTCACGTAGAAATTGGATGTTGCACCCTTGCGCCAGCTTCGGGTATCCCACGCCCCAACTTTCTGTTTCGAAGTCCCTACGTTCAGACGAATCTGTTTGAAGCATTGGGCCGTTTCATCCTGAACACAACTCTCTGCATCAGCAGCGGTCATATCCTCAGTTCGTACGAGATAATCGATTAAAAGTCTCTTCAGTGTTCTGTTCCCGATGGCGTATCCAGAGATCCTGAGATCTTTGGTATGATGGTGAAGGCTGCCACCATTCGATATACCCTCTTCTGTATCGCTGTCAGAAGATGAGTCGTGATCGTCAGACCGTACAAAGTGCTCCTTGAACACAATCTTGTAACTCTCAATTAGTTTGCAACTCTCTGTTAGAGCCTCCGCCGGAAGGGCGCGCCCGTTAAGTCTGTTCTTCACCCAACCGATGAAACGCTCCACCCACCACTGCGCGTAGTTCACAGGCGGTCCGAAAGCTCGAATGTTCTCTTCTAGATGAATCAATTGATGTACAATAAACTTGCATATTCCCACACGCTCCTCACTGTACTCGCAGTAGTCTCGTTCCATGTGCCTGACGAACGAACGGGAGAGATTCCCGATTTCGGTAACATCATCATCGGACAATGCCGGTCTGGTACACAGCTCTACGAGATCTGAAAGACGCTTGAACCATAGGAGGAATTTCATCGGCAGGTGGCCATCCAGAAGAACGAGGCCATAGTGCAATAGAAATTGTTTGCATTCCGATGCTTTCCATTTGCCTGACACAGAACTGTCCCGGGGTTTCGCTCCAAACCAGACTTCCGGGACACTGTTCCCCAACTCCCGTAGCTCCTCGTCAATCTGTTTCCATCGTTCATCACTTATTACGTACTCTTGCGGTGCATCTGCACATCCGGCGAGGTGAGCATTTTTGCATTTCCAGATCTTCATAAAATCCCTCACAAGGTTCAAAGTCTCGTGCATCATATCTATTGGAAACGAGATGAATGGTGTTATCGTTTTCAGGTCAAAGATTGCAGTGCGCCCCGTAATCCCACGATCGGTTACTAGAGCCTCTCGCTCCCGAATAGTGAGGTCTGCCTCATCCGACAATTCTAAAAAGGTGATATCCACGCTGCGTGGGTCGCGAAGTGTAGGAGTCTCCATATTGTAGTACCTAACTATTGTTCTCCGACCATCCAAGACTTGGCGAAGCTTTGACGGAAAGTAATAGTGATTCGACCTGCCTTTATGAAAACCGTGAAACACACAAAACCGACAAGGGGATTTACCGTTGGGCCCAACGGTCCCACAAATTTTTGCAACTGCTTGAATGTCACCCGTAAAGTCCATAACATGGACGCAAACCTTTTGTGTGGCACCGTCGTAAAAAGAAAGCTCAGTACCACCACCACTATTGATAGAATTGACCTCATCAATGAAAGGGTACAGAAATGTGTCTATCTTTTTCGGTTGCCTTGGACCCTTGACAAAGCGTAAAGGAACAACATTGCGCAAAAGAAATCTTAGTTCTGGAGGTAGATTGAGATTGAGGGCAGTGATGGGCCAGCAATCGTAACTGCTGTTCTCAAATGTTTGAAAACCATCGCAAGAAACAGCGAGAAACAAGTCCCACCTCACCGCATCCTCACCACCAAGTTTGTCCACAAGCTGTTTGTAAACCGATCCGTCAAAGTAGTCGGAGAAGTATTGGTTCCCAGAGTCCGGTGCATTGGTATAGTTTTCGTGACGATAGCCATAGAGGGATTTACAGCTCGCCTCGTCAGCAACCCAGGCTTTCCACCTCCAAAGCAGTGGAAGGGCCTCAAAAGTTGTGAGGTCGGGCGCCATGCCTTCTTTATCGCATATCTTGAAAACAACATTGTCTGGTGTGCTGGACACACCTCTCAACAGCATATGCCCCCGACAACACATAAATTTGACAGTATCAAGCCTAGAGTATTTGATCAAGTTGCGTGGGGCAGACTTCCATCCCTTGTACTGCATGAGTGTGTTACCGGTTAGCTGTTTTTGCAGATTCCCAATAACCTTACATATCCGTTTCATTACGGTCCCCTTCACCGAAAAGTCGACGCAAAGCCTGAATAGTTCCTTATGTCTTCTGCAAAAGGAAAGGAATCGATCATATGCTGCTCTCTGAAATGGAATAGTTGCTGTCCCAGTACTTGGTGCCGTCATCTCATCAAAACTGCTTTGAACTAAGGGTGAGGCAGCATTACCATCGGACTCTGATGAGCTTGTATCCAGTCCAGCATCGCCTTCCTCTTGAATGTGAGATGCTAGTGTTTGTATGGACTGGAGAAAACTTGAACCAGAACTTGTATATGCCGCCAAGAGAACATCCCCGAAATCAGATTGTGTCCCTCCCCCCTGCCGATCCCGCGAGTAGCCGCTTTGATTGTGATCCGCCGGTGTAATCTCATCATCTCCATAGACTTTTACGGCATTGGCTGCGCTTAAATTGTTTTGCTCTCCGCTGGATCCGCGGGCCACTACAAACAAGTCACCGTGCGGTTGTAACAATGGAAGTGTGGGTGATCCCGGCTGATGCACTGTGTCGATGACACCTTCAATGCTGGGGTAGCCGGGATTGCTCGAAGGGACAGATTGAGTACCACTGTTTGATTGATGTGCATCGCTCTTTCCATTTCCGCCGGAGGAATCATTCAACTCTCTAAAACGCTGTCGCTGTTGTGTAGCCGCTTCTGTCGAAAAAAACGGTCCAGATGACAGAGGAGGCAATTGCTGTTGCCGTCTACGTACATTTGCGTCGCGCTTTTGTCGTAGCATAGTCTTCTTCGACACCTTTTATCCTGGGGGGCGACATCGGCATGCGTAGTCCGCCAGACATACATATCGAGGAGGGTCAGTAGATGCATCCATGCTCAGAATAGTTCCGATCGGAGACGGCGATGTGAGGAAGGGGAGATCCCCGATGATCTGCACAGCGACGTACCATCGGTAAAAATATTGACATTGATTTCATGTTCTATATACCCGTGTCCGAGTCGTCTGAGTCACGCGGTGACAAGAGCGCGAAAATTGTGCTTTCGCTTCGACCTGTTAGTACTTTTCAATCAAGCGAAACCTTTTAGCTTCACACAAATGGATATATGTACGTACGAATGTGCAGATCACATGGGACATCTCATGAATTGAGCATTGCGTAAACCACGTTCACTTCGCCCGGAGACAGACAGAAATCCATTTCTAACCATAACATTTCTGTTTCTCTCAACTGAGAAACCTTTCTCCAGCCGACATGACTCGACCCCTCATTCCTCGGCCCATACGACAGAAAAAGAAATCCGGTCTCCCTATCGAGGTGAATTCTCCGCTCGACCCTTCTAGGCGACGCAACCCGGCGCGATATGCGGACAATTACATCAAGAATCACAATCAGAAGCATCCAAACAATCCTGAGAAGAAGCTGTTGGAATTTGAGGGTCAACAGGACGATCGAGCTAGAAATGAGCGTGCATACCGTATTGTTGATACGCAATTGCGTAGGCGCTTAAAAGGAATGAAGATATATGAGTTCCTTACGTACAATCAGGCCTCGCGAGTGAAATGGGACCTGATGGATGAAATTGTTCAGGATCTTCGCGCTAGCCCAGGACTTTCGGTATTTGCACAAGGGGAAGACGACTGGCTGATAAAGCTCCTCATCGAGCTGAAAATGGAAACAGCGAGCCGCGAGTACCGCGAAAACTTGGGGGCACAGAGACGCGCGCAAAGAAAAGAATTGGAAGTGGCACAGGCAAGCAATCTATCACCTACTCCTGTAATAGATGCACGTACAGGAAATGGAGAGGCCGAGCAATCCCGAAACGAGGCGGTTCAAGACATTGCGACCCGAGTCCCTACGACATCCACAATTGATCCCAGAGCAGTCTCCATTGTGCCAGACATCCCTAGTCAGACGCATAGTCATTCGGAAGGGGAGGAATTCGATTATGAAGAAGACGATGAGATCTTACCAAACGGCCCACCGAGTGGTTCGCGTGTTCGATTCCGTCAATACGATGATGTGGTAGGAACTCGTGCTGCTGATGGACGTGACTCACTTGAGTTCTCCGCTCGAACAATTGTTCAAGATTCGGACAGTGAAACGCAGCAGAAAGATGAATTCAGTGCGCATAATCGTGGCACCCGCATTGCTGCCCTTCAGGCAGGGTTGGCAAAGCCCACGAGATGCAGAATTAGATGCGATTGCAAGCAGAAGTAGCATTGATTTGCAAGAGCCGAACACACGTACCGCGCGTAGCCACTTTCGTTCTGGTAGAACTTGTGTGCCGTTGGAAACGAGACTCCCGAGTCCTACCACCCAACCGGGAGTTTCTTCTCGAACCCAATCGGACCGTAACTCGGGTAACTCTGCAGCAGTAGCTAAGAATGGAGCTGGGCATGCACGTCGCAATCGCAAAATACCTCCGAGAAGCGGCCTTGCCAAGCGCAGGAGGAAGAAGTAGGCATACTGCTGTGAGAGTTATGAGATTGGTCTTTATGGCCAATAAAGCTTCCCTCGAATAAAGTGGAAACTGGATGGTGGACTTGACTGTTTGCCATATAGCTGCCCGCTTTCCGACGATGGCTTGATAGAACCAGATGGCCGACGTTTGCAAAATTTTTCAAGCCCGCAGCAGCAACGCACATCCTGTAGAACGCGGCTTGAGGCTTCCCGATATATCCTCGAAGCATGTATCACACTTGTTTCCAGACGTCTTCAGGGACGCCTTTTAGGGGACCAATAGCGCTGTGAAACAGGTGGCATGCGGGGAAGATGAAGTGAATTCTACGCCTACCGTAAGTCGATTAATGTTCTCCACTTGGTTGACGAGAAAAGGTAATGAAGAACGGGGGCGGAGAGGTTAGATCTTGGATAGTACCACATCTGGCTCAGTGAGGAGGAAACGTATGCGCAGAAAATTTTTATGACTTGAAAGACGTGACGCGCAGTGGGACAAGACTCTCGGAGTCAGGGTCGTTCCTAACGACGAGCACGGTGTGCTAGCACGCAAGCACCCTGACATTTGGCATGAATGGATTGGTTGAACGGGAGTAAAACCATTTCCAATAATTTTTTCAACCAATACATTCATGCCAAGTTTCAGGGTGCTTGCGTGCTAGCACACCGTGCTCGTCGTTAGGAACGGCCCTCAGTCGGGGGGGGAGGGTTCCTGCGACGTGCCGTTTGCAGTTCAAGATCCAATGGTGAGAGAATGCAGATCCATTTTTAGATCATGCGCTTTGAGCTCTTGTCAATAGTTGTCCGTTTGTGGTGGAGTCGCAGATGAAACCTCGAGACAACTGAGAGAGTACACGCTCACTGTTTACATCCAGCAGGGCAGGAAGAGGCCATATCAGCAAGCGCACTGGTGACCAAAACGTACATTTATGCGGACTCGAGTTCATGCCTTGTAAAGTTTAGACCATGATACTGTAATATTTTGTATTATAGCATTCATTAGGGGTAGAGAGGCAATACGATATCGCTCTTCTTCGATGAAGAGAGAACAGGGAAGCCCGTCACAACATATGGTGATTGATTTCGCCCATGAAGTCATGTAATCAATATGTGCATTCAGCTAATTTTAGATCACAGTAAAGGGAACCAACGCCACCGTTTGACATACTACTGCATCATTCCTCACGTTAGTACTCAGATTCATTAAACATGAACGGCTTCGTTTTAAACAGCAAGACCCTGTGGGCGACCCGCAGTCCTCTGGGCACTGGATACGGGTCACTGGAGGGGCTGACATTTTGGGGAGGAGGGAGGAGTTGAAAGCTGAGGGGAATGCGACGGGTAGGGTCAATGCGACGGTGGTATTGCCGTAGGAAATCGATGGGCTGGATGAATCAGTAGATTGCAGGTCACAGTAGAGCAGGAGTTTGCGATGTTGTACTACGTGTACCGACTGAGAAACGTACATATGTGGCAACAGGTGTAACTAGACGGAATTTGGCAGAGGCGAGAAAGTGTCCTCTCTTCCAAATTCCGACGCACTTCCGAGAATGAAATCGAGACTTATGCAACATACAACAAATGGATTGAATGGGTATTGAGCCCAACTGCACGAGCCTCCCTGATTGCGTAACTTGAGCAGCGAGCATCTGTACGTACACTAGTACAGTACGGCACGCTGGCAAGATCACGAGGATGCCCTCAACTTGCCACTCCCTCATACAATACAAACATGACCGCACGGTCCACGACGACACGTACAGTATTCAGTACGCATGCGGCATCTATCGGAGGGGGTAAATTACTGTACAACGGTACCCGCGCGGTACTCGCCGCGTCACGTCTCTCGCGACGCGTGGGGCACTTGGCGCACCGCACAGCGCACGGCAGAAAATTGGCTTCAACGGCGGCAACGAAGACTGCGCGCCCTCTTCTTTCCCGGAGCGAGTCGCCGCCTGCAACGCGCCTGACGTGAGCTTGGTGCGTCTCTTGTGCGGCGGTTAGGACGCTCGCGAGAAACGATCAATCGGGGCCACTGGCCGCGATTGGGTAGTGCGGGCACTACAGTACTGTACACGCACTGTATCGCGCACGTGTGACTCGCTCATACCGAACTGCCGCTTGTCAGGCCAGCAATGCAAGCAGGTTGCGCCGCGACTGTCGCTGCGGCCTGTCACTCCGGCGCCTTGTCCCTCGCACCATTGTCGCCGCGCGCGGCATAATTCGAGCCCCCACTTCTCTACCCGTCTTCTCTAGCCAGAGAAGACGGGTAGAGAAGTGGGGGCGACTAGTCGCCTGCACGCCCGCCTCTCGTTCAGCCGCCGCCCTTCCCCGGCGCTGCCTCTTGCCAGACTCTCACCCTCCCCGCTGAGCTATTCATGCGCAATATGTACATCATAGGCGTCGTTTGCTTTGTCGTCACGACGATATCATCCAATGCATGGGGGTGTACGGCGCTCTGCTTACGTTTGAAGTCATTTGCGGTTTGTACTTTCCGGCCATGGGTACCATGCAAGCAAAGTATGTTCCCGAGGTCACCCGATCCGCCATTATAAACTACTTTCGTCTTCCTTTGAATGTCATAGTCTGCCTCATTCTGTACAAAAACTATGAGAAACTACGGCGAGCCTATACCTTCGGCGCGCGCACGAGCAGCAGGCGCGCCGAAGCGTAGATGAGCAGCGACAGCGCGGGGTAGCGCCGTAATGGCCGGCGGCGGCGGCGGCAGGGCGAGCGCGGCGGGCGGGCGCGAGGCGCGGGATCTTCGCGACGGACGGCGCGCGCAGCATGGCGGACGGGAGGGAGCGGGTCGGGGGATGCGGCGGGGAGGTGCCGGGCGGGAGAGGATGGGGAGGGTGGGCGGCACTGCCGGCCTTGCTGGACATGCTCGGTGCGATCGGCGGGCTCTAATTCGAGGGGACACATCGACCAATGGAGGCGCGGGCATTGGATTGGGGCCGGGACTCCTAAAACGGGTCTTACGGGTCGGGAACGCAGATGTCGAGAGTTGAGGACCTCTCTCTCCTCCTTCTTACCCGAAAACTTTTCTCCAGCCAGTGAAGGGCGTTTTCCCGGGGTGCACCGTCTTCCGCTTCCCTACTGTCTAGGTGACAAATGACCTCATATGAGGTCACTTTTCAACTTATTCTTCTCGACTTGTTGTAACCGCGCCTATGCCCGTGGGACTTGGTTATTGTTTCAGAAGCCAAATTGTCTTCCATGCAGGCTCAGCCAATTTGGCATAATGTAGCCGGGCCGCCGCCCGCTTTACTTGGTTTATTGGTTCAGCAGCCGAATATCCTTCCACGCATGTTCTCGTAATTCGGCACAGCATCCTCCTTTTGGAAGGTTCCGCACAGTACAGTAATCAGTCCTCCTTTCTTCTGCTAACAAGCATTTAAGTAGATCCGCCAATAAACCTCGAAGATGGTCTCCATCATCGAAGGACCACCTTTTCCATCAAAGCCAACCTTTTTCTCTTTCGCCCTGCACACCACCAGGTGTGGCAGCACAGTGATCACTACGCCTAATCCGCGTCTGGAAGGGCAATTCCGACGTTTCATACGAAACATCACTTAGATCATTCACTACAAAGCAACTCAACAAACCTCGCTCATTCCTTCCGTGCCATGGCAGACGCGTGCAGCTCGTCTCCGCCGGATCGTCAGAACCCTCTGACCCATGCTGGAACCCCAGCAATCTTGTCGTCGACCGTCGACCATCCGAGGCTCACGCAAATCAATGCTGAGGCCATTCGCGTATTTCTTTGGAAATATGACTGCTATGTCAACGAAGTCAAAGCGCGCGCCGAGTCCCTCGCTGGAGACTCATCAACCTGTCGTCCCGTTGCCCTGAAGTTTTGCGTAGAGGCTGAATTTATCCACAGCTTCATCGAACTCGACCTTGTCGAGGCCCACGACTACGATGCCTTCGACGACTTGACGCTCCGACATTTTCTGGAATCCAAGGCTACAGAGAGTCCCGACTGCGTCTCTCTCGACTCCCTCGAGGCCATGGTCAAGAAGGATCTCAAGATGGACATGTCTGACAGTCGCGCAACTTCACGCATGGAGAATATCTTCATCTCCTACAGCGCACTACTACGGCGACATGGCTTATCCTGGCTCTCCAAAGCCAATCCAAAGGTGGCTGTGAAGCACGTTCTCTCGGCCATCAAGCCCGAGTCGCTACTTATTCGGCTGGAATCTGATCTCCACCTAGGACATTCCAACTTGAAGAAGGACCTTCCTGCGTTCATGAAACACGCAATGCGACTAGCAGACGCCTTCCAACTGCTCGATATCGGACCAAGGGGCGACAAGCCCGGACAAAAAGTCAATTCGACAAACTCCGCGCGGGGATCTAACACGTCCCCCTCGTCTCAGAGACCAAATGGCAACGTAGGTATGGAGCGCCCACTGCCATTGTGTCTCTACCCGCCGCACAAAGAGAGGGGATTCCGTCATCTTCTCCGAGATTGTCGGGCTTGCCCCGACGATCAGCGTGCGGTCCTCCGTGCTCAACTCCAATCCAATCGCCAACGTGACGGTCCGTATGCCAACACACGCAGCCGTGGACACAAGGATACCCATAAAAAGGGTAATGCCGATCCTTCAGATGCTCAGTCCCATCACAAGGCCATCGGACGTCTACAGAAGGACAACGAACAGGACATATACAGTTCTTCCTGTACAATCACCGTCTCGGACGGTGCGGCAAGCACCACGGTCTCAGGACGATGCGACGACGGGAGTGACGACAGTATCGTCTCACCCCGGATCGCCGAGGCTGCTGCAATCAAAGGCATTGGACGTATCACCAAGATCCGAACCGTCGAGCTCACAGTGGCGCTCAAGGACAAGGCCGAACCGACTCGTTTTTCCTTTTCCCGGGCATGGACCTGCCCGCGCACCGTTCTTCATCTGTCCGCCGGCCAACTTGCCCTCCTCAACATCCAGTATCTCGTCCCGGATGACGATCTCGCTTGTGAGGACCTTCTCATAGGTCTACCAGTCCTTCGTCACCTCAAGGTCGACACCAAGACGTTGCTGGAACAGAACTGCGCCCGTTTGGACGGCACGGACTGTTCACAAGTTGTCGGATCGTCACCCATTGGCAATCTCGGAAACATCGGTCGCCTCATGAAGAACCGTAACGACTTCGACAGCGATTCTCAGGAAAACGAGGCTCAACTCGATCGCAGGCGTCCAAGGGTCAACTACTACTCCACGCGCATGGAGGAGGACCCTTTTCCAGACCCGTCCCTCATCGATCCGCGCGATGCGGATCAAGAGGCAGACGTCAAATTGGCTATCAACGACATGGTGACAAGGGCGTCAAGGGAAGGACTCGCAGATAACCACGCCCAAGATCTACGGCATATCGTCGACAGTCTTTCTGACATCTTCCGAAACACTTTTTCAGCTGGACCTCCTGCCGACGTTCCGCCACTCCGAATCAGACTGAACCACGACGCGCGCCTCGTGCGCGTGCGTTTGCGCAACTACTCTCCGGACCAACGGGAGTTTCTAAAACGACATATTGACGACTTGGTCCGTTGTGGAATGGTGTTTTTCAACCCATCTGCAATTTGGGCAAGCGCACCGCTGCTGGTCCCCAAACCCGGACCTGCGCGTTTTCGCTTCACCGTCGACCTCCGCCCCGTCAACCAGTATACAACAGTCTGTCAATACCCGATGCAGAACTTGGAGGTCGAACTGACCAAGACGTCTGGCAGTCAGTTTTATGCCGTATTCGACCTTTCACACGGCTACTGGCAATTCCCTCTCGCCGAGGATTCCCAAGACTGTCAGTCGTTCATCACACCGGATGGCATCTACACGCCACGCCGTGTATTGCACGGCACTATAAACGCCGTCACGTACCTGCAAGCCACTCTGGCCTCCATCTTCCCCGAATCCCTTCGTCAAAATGTCTTGTACTGGCTCGATGACATCATGTGTCATTGGGCCACCGTTTCCGGTTTGTTGAAAACGATTCGTCAGCTCTTCGAAGTACTGTCGAAGCACAATCTCAAGCTCCATCCTGGGAAGTGCACACTCTTTGCCAAGGAGATTCGCTGGTGCGGCCGTCTTCTGTCCGCCGCAGGTATCCGGTTCGACCCCCGCCGAATCGACGGACTGCAACAAATGGCCGAACCTACTGATGGCGCGCAGCTTCAACAATTCTTCTGTGCGCTGCAATGGGTCAAGACCGGCATCCCCAACTTTAGCCGTATTGTCGAACCGCTTCACAACTTCTTCGAAAAGGTATATGTACGTTCCAACACACGCAAAAAGCGCCCCCTAGCTCGCATTTCACTGGCAGATGTCGGCTGGGACCAGACGGAACGTCAGGCCTTCAAGTCGTGTATAGAAGCCCTAGCTCGTCGTGTCACATTGGCACATCGTGACGCGACGAAACGACTCTGTGTCTACACAGACGCCTCCGACTCACTCTGGTCCGGAATAATGACTCAAGTTCCAACTGCCGACACGACCCTACCACATGCTGAACAACGTCACGAACCGCTTGCCTTCCTCTCTGGTAGGTTCAACACGCAACAAGCCCGCTGGTCTGTACTTGAAAACGAAGCCTACGCAGTCCTCGCGACCCTTCAGCGCATGCACTGGCTGGCAGCTACATCTGCTGGATTCGACTTGTTTACAGATCACAACAACCTGATCTACTTGTTCGATCCACTGTCCATCGTGCCTGATATGTCGCAGACTACACTGCGCAAGGTACTGGGCTGGGCTGTCAGACTGTCCGCATACAATTACACCTGTGTGCACATTCGCGGCACCGACAATGTCTGGGCCGATCTGCTAGGCCGCTGGGCACCACCTCCAACCATCCGCCGTCTCGTCCGTATTCCCGCGTTACCAAGTGCATCGGCTGACGATTTCGAATGGCCTTCTAGCCGCGACATCGCCAAGGCACAAAACGAAACGGCCCTTCCCCGTCCCAAAAATCTCCAAAAGTCCAACGGTCTTTGGCTCACTTCTACCGGTGCGATTTGGATACCCGATGACTCCACAGACCTGCAGCTTCGCTTGTGTGTCATCGCCCACACCAATGCTGCCGGTCATCGTGGCTCACGCACAACAGAACACGTCATGTGTAAAGCCTATCACTGGTCTACTCAGTCCGCCGACATAGGCGAATTCGTCAAAGCGTGCATCCACTGCCTTTCGACAACCGGAGGGGGGAAGATGCCGCGACGTTTTGGTCCGGCTTTTCACGGCACACATCGGAACGACTTACTTCAGTTCGACTACATCGACCTAGGGACCGGATCAGACGGTGCAAACTACGTTCTCATGATGCGTGACGATTTTTCAGACTACAAGTGGTTCTTCCCTTTCGCCGATACGTCTGCAGCGAACGCCGCCACTGCCATCATTGATTGGTGCGCAGCCTTAGGCGTCCCGAAATCGCTAATGTCCGACGGCCCGACGCACCTCAGGAATGAGACGATTCGCCTTGTTGCCAAAGGCCTCAAGGTCCCGCACCACTTCACTCTTCCATATTGTCCTTGGTCCAACGGCGCGGTTGAGAGACTCGGCAAAGAGCTTGTTCGGACCTGTCGCGCCACTTTGTCTGAGCTACAGATGCGACCGGAAGAATGGCCAGACATTTTGCCAATCATCCAAAGCACTCTCAACAACACCCCGTCACGTCACCGCGGAAATGTCGCTCCCATCACAGCATTCCTTGGGGCCGACCCGACACCTCCCATCCACACCTTCTTGCGCTCCTCCACAGTTACCTCGATGACTGTCAGCGAAGTCCAAGCCGATCATATACTGAATGTTGACAAGCTCAAAAGTCTAATTGCGGATCTTCATCTTATCGTCTCCGAAAGCCTGAAGAAAAATCGACAAAAGGCCCGTGAGGCCGCGTCCCGCGGCGAACTTCCGAAGTTTGAAGTAGGCGATTTCGTCCTCGTCGCCTGAGAAGAGTTCTCCTCCAATGAGAAGCTGTGTTTGCGGTGGCGCGGACCACGTCGAATCGTGAAAGCATTGTCCGATTACATCTATCTTGTAGAAGACCTGAGGAATGGGACGACGAACGAGATCCACATCGTCCGTCTCAAGTTCTATCACGACTCCAGTGTCAACCAAGAAGCTATCATGTCACACGTTCTGTCGTCGGAAACAGGAATGGTAGTTTCCCGATTGATGCGAGTCATAGACGAAGACGGCGACCTCAAAGTCCAAGTACGTTGGAAAGGTCTTCCAGATTCCGAGGACACTTTCGAACGACTCCAGCGCATCTACGACGACGTACCAAAAATGCTCCTCAAGCTACTCAGCCGAAAGTCCACTCCTTCGGCGCTGGTGTCTCGCGCACGTCGTACAATTCGCCTCTGATAGGGGGGAGTGTAACCGCGCCCATGCCCGTGGGACTTGGATATTGTTTCAGAAGCCAAATTGTCTTCCATGCAGGCTCAGCCAATTTGGCATAATGTAGTCGGGCCGCCGCCCGCTTTACTTGGTTTATTGGTTCAGCAGCCGAATATCCTTCCACGCATGTTCTCGTAATTTGGCACAGCATCCTCCTTTTGGAAGGTTCCGCACAGTACAGTAATCAGTCCTCCTTTCTTCTGCTAACAAGCATTTAAGTAGATCCGCCAATAAACCTCGAAGATGGTCTCCATCATCGAAGGACCACCTTTTCCATCAAAGCCAACCTTTTTCTCTTTCGCCCTGCACACCACCAGGTGTGGCAGCACACTTGTGCTAGCTCAACAAGATGGAAAAAAGATACTCTCGACACGGCAGTTGACTTCTGCGTTGTAGAAGGGTGTAGTTCGGTGAGATCTACACGTCTTCTCCAGCCATTTTTAAAATGCCCAAAAAGGAGCCTTTTTTGACCAACCTCAAAACGTTTTATGTTGATATCTTCGAAACCAAAACGCCTGTTTAAAAAGACAACTCATCATTGATACTTCATTAGATTCTTAGTCTCTCTGTGCATTGACAACCGCCATCCCAATGTTTTGCAAGATGTTATTGCCGAGCGCGTATACGTTAAAGAAATGGTGTCCAAACTGAATGTTTTAAAGTTTCGATTTAATTTATGTATTTTTGCAAAAAAAAAGCTGGCCTCATATGAGGCCATGACTGACCTCAGATGAGGTCAAATTGCTTGTCGTCTAGACACTAGCCATGTCCAAGTATCTATATGCCCGCACGAGATCTGAAAGATCATCGACTTTCGCGGTTAAGCTGTACAATCCATCAATGTCAGCTATGTCCATTTTCTGTGCATAGACCTCCAACAATTCTCAGTTGCACCAGTGCACATCAAACAAAGAATGGCTTGCGAAAGAGCTGTCAAAATCAAAAAACCGGAACCCTGGACCCTCATCGGCACTCTTCCTGGTTAGGTTCCCTTCTAACTGGTCATTTTGTATCAAACAATTAGGCATTTCCCATCTAATAAGTTCCGTCAGGTCTTCTTGCAGCTTGACCTTGGTGTTGGACAGCTTCTGGCTTGGTTTCGTTTCACGCACAGACGAAAGCTCCTTTGACTGAAAAAATGAGGTCAAGTTCTCACGCATCCACAGCGGTGAATAACATGGTAGCCCTGCCTGCAACAAATCGGGCAACACATTCCTGCTTGCGCGGTGCAGACGCACCGTATCTCTCACCACCTGCTTACGCCCTTCAAGTTCCAATATACACATGCCAGTCTCCTCACCGTGGTCGGCAAGGATCATTTGACGACTTTCCACGTCTGCAAACAACGGCTTGGCGACCAGATCAGGAGCAACGCTTGACATTATTGACGGCACTCCAGCATCGTTCGACGTGGATGGGCTGCATTTTAGGTAGTAATCACTCTCATTCGTCTTGATCTTTAGCACGGCTCCTCTGTATGACGTACGGATCTGAACCAGATCCCCTATCAGATGCCAATTGCGTCCACGCAATATTTCGCGCACTTTTCGAAGCGTTTCATGGTGCCATTCGACAGAGGCCCAAGGCACCCGTTGAGGCGGCGAAACGTTGGCTGCGGCCTGTTTCAGTTCTCGTCGAATAGCTTGCTTCGCTCCTTTCTCCGAGTGCGAGACATGGACGACACCGCTCCGTGATTATCGGTGATGGCCACCCAACTACATCCAGAAGGCACTCGTTCAGATTTCTCATAGCACCCAACAACGAGAATACCGCGGCTTCCCGAGTCTGAACAATCATCGGTTTTAACGGACCACTCCTCCAAGTAACAATCTCGAAGAACAATGAACGGAAATTCTATACCAATGACTGTCTTAGCAGCGCTGCACACATCATGTATCGGGGTGACATCTACCGTGTCAGAAAGAAATCCCGGAAGCCTCCATTCTTAAGACCGTTTGCCACAAGCAAAACGTATCGATTGCTCATATCAAAGGTGAGAAGTTGCACCTCATTGACCGAATCCCTTTCACAGCGTGCCCTGGACGACTCGTAGATAGGCTGTTCGCTGCGGAACATGTGTTCCAATCCTGGGAGCAATCTTGCATGCCCTTTCCGTCGCCCTTGTGATATTTTCCAATAAAATCTTTTGTGCTCGTTGTCGTAGAGCGCGTTGAGAGAATTTGCGTTTGTACAAGGCGATCGCAGACTTTTGGGTAATGTTCGTACTGAACAAGATGGCAAGGGACGCTACTCTTCACTGTTCAACGGTACACCTCTGCGAACAGCCGTGCGGACAGCACCACCCCGTTCCCCTCATAAAGAGAAGTGAACACGTGTACTTTACTACTTTACATACTACTTTATTATTATTAATTATTAATTTAATTATTATTATTACAGAAAAGTTCAGCACCACCCCGTTCCCTTCATAAAGAGAAGTGAATACGTGTACTTTACAGAAAAGTGAACACGTGTAACGAGCCGTCCCCTTTTTTCTTGCTTACACCTAGACTAACGTCTAGGAACACGTGTGTACAGCGTCGAAATTTTTGAGAAAATTCACTGGAGGACGTCAGTTGGAAACCCTACGCATACGTGGCGCATCGCAAAGCGCGTCGCGTCTCCTTCTGATGTCAGATGTGTGTGCCGGAGTGGTTTCAACACCACCAAACTCCACTTAGTCTTTTGCCCTCCACGCTCACCGCCGCCGCCTTCGCGCCCCTTCCCCCAACCCTCAACCCTCAACCTTTTCATCCCCGCAGCCCGCCGACGCGCCGCCCCGCGCGCAGGGCATCCAGCTGATGTGCGCGATCGCGCAGGATGACTCGGCGCTGGTGCGCGCGCTGGTGCGGCGGCACGCCCCGCCCGCGCGCGCCGCGCTCGCCAACTACTGTGACTACGACAGCGGCACGCCGCTGCACCTGGCGTGCACGGACGGCCGCGCCCCCATCGCACGCGCGCCCCGCGACCGCTTCGACGCCACATGTGTCGCAGATGCGCTCAGACACGGACGCATCAACACCCTCCGCGTCCTCGCAAAGGCCGCCGCTCAAATCCCTGCGGCTGTGCAGCCCGCCCACCTCGACTCCTCTTACGCCCTTGGCAGAGACTTTCTCACCGTCGCCGCAGTCGGCTCCGTCCGCGCCGCGCAGCAGCTCGTGCACACGTTCTGCGCCAACGGTAAGTGACTCCCCCTGCGAGCGCGCGAGAGAGCGAGAGCGAGAGAGAGAAAGAGAGACCGGAATAGTTATTGGCCAGTTGCTGACCGGCGTTGCGCGCTGGGTTGCTCCGCGCAGTGAACTTCGCGAACGCGGACGGGCGCACGGCGCTGCACTTTGCGGTGGCACGCAGACGACGGACATGGCGCGGTTCCTGGTGGACGCCGGGTCCCACATGCACCAGCAGGACCGGGGGCAGCAGTCGCCACTGTCCGACGCGCTGCGCACGCCGGACGAGCCACTGTGCGAGCTGCTCGTGTGCCGCGACGCCGCGCGCAAGGACGACGAGTTAGCTCACATCATGCAGGAGCCCGTCGCGTTCGCCGTCTGCTGAGACCCTCCCACCTCCCCCCGCACCTGCCTTGTACAGACGCGTCGACGCGACGAAGAAGTCGCACGTTAACTTCATGCCGTCACGCGCACATGACCCCGGTACCGTACTGCACCGCGTCACCGCCCGGTAACTTTAATTTTACCATTAACTTCCGCTCCCCCACATAAATTATCTCCCAAGTGCTGCTCGATCACCTTTCCTCCCGGCACCCTCGCCACCCCCCTTTCTCTGCCCCCTGCCACCGTCGTTGTCCCCCACGGGAACTGCACAACTTGGGAAAATGTTGTCCGCTAGTCGTCAAGGAACTGGCTTCATCATGAACTGTAGTTGCACCTCTCCACGCAAACGTCCAGATGCGGCCAATTAGATGACACTAGTTGTCCACTAAATTTCCAAGTGCTGTTACACCGAATACTGCAAATAGTGCGGGTGAAAATATAGTGCGGGTTCGAAATTAGTGCAGACCGCAGTAAACTGTGTCTCTCGCCTATCGCCGATGGCGCAATTACTGCAGTCCGCACTAATTGCAAACCATACATCTAATAGTGCAGTCTCAGAAAGCAGCCAATTCGCTGTCCTGCGCGCCATTTTTGACAGATACTAACCCAAATCTGGAACAAAACGCCATGGTGGTGTTTCGGTTATGCACATATAAAGGCTTACCTTTTCCATTCTTACATCAAAGCTGCACCCCGCCGTCCGAAAGATCCAGCTTGCGTATCATGACGGTATTAGCAACTCCCATTATTGCTTCCCTCCAAAATGCCGAACGCCTGCGGAACGAAAGAGACGCAGCTTCAACACAAGAAGCTACTGTAGATGCCCATCATTCCTCTGCCGATCCGCCTACATCTGCCCCACTCCAACCCAACTCCGGCCTTCCAGCACCGCCGCCCAACACAGCCGCGACCTCGGCGGTCCGCACAAGAGCGGTCCAACGTGTGCTTACGCGATCAGATCGCGTTAGGATTGTCAAGTGGATGTCTGAGGAGGTCTCCAGGCCAGGTTCTAAACACATTGCCTCAAAAGCTGTCCGCCAGTTTCCCCCTCTGTTTAGTGGAAACGAAAAAGCGAACAATTCTAAGGCAAGTCGCTTATGGAAAGCACGCCTCGAGTACCTTGAAGCAGACGAGACGGCTTGCGCGCCGCGCTCAATTACCAGGGTTACAAGCTGTGGCTTCAAAAGGGTATATCTAAAGGCCAAGCCTGGCCGCGGTCGGAAGAGGTCTGCTTGGGTAATGGCGCTGCAAGCCGACCTCCTCGAAGAGTTTGACAGGCTTCGAAAAACCGGACTCAAGTTCAATGCCAAGCTGCTCGGGGATCTTGCGAGACAGCTCATAAAAAGTTCTACGAGGGATGAATATTTTCTAAATTATTTTGATACGTCGTCAAAAACGTTTATTCAGTACATGATCACACCGCGTTGGATCCAGGCATTTATGGAGCGCAACGAAATTGTTAGTCGCGCTCAAACAGGCAAATTGATGGTTTCCGCGGAGAAGCAAGCTTTTATCGAGAAGGAAGTGGCGTATCATCTTGGCTTTGTGGCTCGAGAGTTTCGTTCAGGACGTTTAGATGAGGAAGATGTGTCAAATGCTGACGAAACGCACTTTGTCATCAACATGGACAACCATCGAACGTTGGGAATTTGCGGTGAAGCCGAGGTAAAGTATTCAGACGTAGTGTCTGGAGCGGAAGGGATGACAATGATTGTACGTATATCTGGTGGAAGGGATGCCAGAATCGAAGCGCCAATGATGGTTTTTCAGAACAAGAAGAGAAGCTACCCAATTCAAAGCGTTCCTGACGATGTAGCGGGAGTTTCGTATCGCTCTGGGCCGAAGGGTTGGATGGATCGCGAAGTAATGCCGCAGTGGCTGAGGGAACGGAAAGTAATTAAGGCGCTTCGGCACGGCCGGCGTCGTGTTTTGTATATGGACAACTGCAGTGGGCATGGTGAGACTGCGGCAATGTTGGAAGCTTTGAACGAAGTCAACACAGAGGTCAGGTTTTTCCCGCCGAACTGTACGGACCTACTGCAGCCCGCCGATTCCTTTGTGATACAAAAGCTAAAAGATGCTTGGCGTTGTCGTTGGGACCAGCAAAAAATGGAGCGCATAATGGCGGGTGACTTTACGGCTTCTTCTGGCAAGTTGCCTAATCCAGGCAAGCACTACTTTCTGGAGCTTGCCACAGCGGCTGTTCGGGATGTTAACGCACAACGCGACAGCGAGGGTTTAACCTACGCACGGAAAGCCATGATTAGATGTGGCTTAGCGCTCAACACAAATGGGCAGTGGGAGGAAAGACAATTGTTTCCCAAGCTACAGAACATAATTCAGAGGCATCGAAACCATTTTGAGGGAGCTCCTGTGATTGCGAATGAGGGCCAGGTGGTGGGCGAAGGCGCGTAGAGATATCCAGTACCCTTACACATTAAAAATCTCAACTCTTCTGATTGGTCCAGATTGCATTCGGCATTACAGACAGAATTAGGGTAGACCGCACTATTAAGAACAGAATTATTTACTGCGGACCGCACTAATAGGGGAAATGACTTAATTAGTGCGGTATCAATATTAGTGCGGACCGCAGTAAATACCGTCACCTCGGCTTCGAATTGGCGTTCCAAAATAGTGCAGACCGCACTATTTGCAGTATTCGGGTGTAGCTGCCAACACGTGGCCAATAGTTGTCCACATGGGACCACCCCTCTCCACTACTTGTCCGACAATTGATGTTTTGTCTACTAGGGGTGACGAGCCTCGAGGTGTTATCCAAGCTGTACATACGATAGTCAGCAACGGCGCTGAACTCTTGGATCATCGTATGTACCGGCTCGAGTCCGGGTTCGGCGGGACCGAACGTGCCGAAGGGGGTGACAGATAGCGTACGGACGTCTACCGGACTTGGATGCTCGGCGTAATCCACCGGCGGGTAGCCGCCCCAGCGTGGATCGACGGAGAACACGGGTTCTCCGGATTCGCCGGCGGCTCCTCCATGTTCGGGGTCGTCGCGATACGGCGCTCGTCCGGTCCGCCACCTGCTTCCGGCGGCAGGTGGCAGAGCTTGGGTCTCGGACGCCACGTTGGCGTCCACCAGCGGTCGTCTTTCTCCTGCGTCCCGACTGGGGTAGTCCCCAGTCGGACGCCATCCTTGTGAAGCAGCTGCACCCGGAGGTACGACACCACCGGGCC